TTACAAGTCAATGGTTATAATAAGAAATGACATTAAAATGCAATTAAAGCATCTAAAATGACCATAAATACTCGACAAATTCATGTATAATTCGTACATAATTATCCAAACCAAATAATGAAGCATGGACTTTTGTCACATAGGATCTCCAAGCATACGAGTCTATCACTTAGATTCAGCACATTCAGGAATTATATGTAAGAGGATGTTATTACATCTCGTGATATGGTTAAAAAAAGTTCTACTAATATACTAAATTTAAATTATTAATAAACATCAAATAAACATTAATATCTTCCACAACCTAAACAAATCAAACATCCAAAAATAAAATATCGTCAACCATTAAAGGTTGAATATAAACTAAAGTAAAAACAAAATCTAAAAAATAATCATTATACCATAATTAAGTTATTAATAAACATCAATTAAGTTTATCTTCGCCTTCTAATCATGGAACAAACGTGCAATGGCGTCGTAGGTAAAGGCGACGTCCACGACTGCCCTTCCAATTTTTGAACCGAAGACTTGATCGGACAAGCAGGTGTGAGGCCCTTTCAATTTATGCTATGCGTCGCTTGGTGGTCGGGGGATAAGAAAAGAGATGGCGGCGGAGGCCGACAGATTCGCCCCTCGGTGGTTAGGGAATAGAAAAAGAAATCACTTTTTTGCGTATGATACTGAATGCGCGCTTAACCAGTAGCTTCTCGAATTTGGTTCGGGCCCTTCGTGGGATTGAGAGTCTAGCGTGATGGTCTTGACAAGGGGTGACTCAAGGGACTTGATGATAAAGCCCATCGACTTGTTGATCGTCGTCATCTTGGCTTGGGTGTTTCACGTTGCGCTTGTGGATCAAGTGATCGATGTAGATCCAAACGTCGTCTATGTTTCTCTTTACCGACCGCTGAATCAATGGGCGACTGCTTCAACCCCCAGCATATAGGAGATAATATTGGAGCTCAAGGGGTTGTTGTTTTTGGAAGCGCATCCCCAACCATGGATGAGAAACATCATGATGGATGGTGTTTGGTAGAAAGAGTGAGGATGGAGGAGTGGAAGGTGAGGGACAAGTTCATGTCGATCAACTCAGCCAAGAGGGGGACGAAGATAGAGGGTGGCATTTTATGGTTAATTTAATTGAGCTTAATTTAGGGTTAGTTTTTAAAAAATGTTGGTATGATTAAAAATAAAAGCTAGAGTTAGTATATGTGTAAGAAAATGATCTTAGTGGTGGGTGGAGAAATTTGTCAAATATATATTGATAAGTCATAGATGGGCTAGCCGATATAACAGTAAGTATGAATAGGTCACATAAATTAAGCATCATGATCTAATTAAGCATCATGACTCAAGTTATGCCAGAAGTATAACTATATACATTGTTGAAATAACACTAAGTATGAATATGTCACATAAAATAAGCATCGTGATCTAATTAAGCATCATGACCCAAGTTATCCTATAAGTAATAACTATATGTGTGGCCCAGCAACTGGCAATAATAATAACTTGCAACCCACATAAATTAACCATCATGATCTATTACATATTAGAGGTTTCTAGTATTAAAATCGAGATGTGTACTCGCTGTCAGTTGAAACAAATTATCAACACGTGCACATGCACAAAATGCCAAAAGAATAAAGGAATAAACATATCAACAACACAATAGTTGATTATTATACTGTATGATATGGGATACAATATCGAGTAGAACGGGCCCAATAAACCGACTAACCGAGTTGGGCAAACCGATTGGTCGAGAAAATACAGACAGGCCGACCACTGGTCAAACAGAGCTAAAAGCATATTGGTGAGAACATCACAGGTTCAAATAAGGACATCATAAATTCAAAGGAGCACCGATAGGCCGAGCTAGGTCCCATGAATGGTCTGATAGAAACTCGACTTGGAGGTGCTCTGGTGGAAGGATCGACCTATGAGACATCGTGCACATACCTAGCCGGGAAGATGATCTATCTCATTAGAAGTCGAGCCGGTCATATTGTAACACCCCGACTTTTACCATATCAGAGTGCGCGATTTTTCGCAATTTTCTGAATAAAATACTTATTTTTGCGAAAACTGATTCGGGATGCTACCGTGAAGAAAACTTGATTTTTGAAAAACTGTTAAAATTTAAACTGATACATAAAAACGGTCATAACGTCTTATCCGAATAATGTCGGAGCCAAGTCTGATAATAAGTACTGAAAAGTTTTAGAGGAAACAAAGCGTGGCTAAACATAAATACAATAATCATAAATATCCTGAACAGCTC